CCCTCCCCGGCCTGGCGATTTTAAAAATGAAATGTATAAACAGGAAATAGTGTTTAAAATATTATCTAGAATAATAATCTTCGAACGCACAATTATTGAACATTAACTCTTGTGATGAATAATTTGCAATTACAATAATATTTTTAAAAGAAAAATACAAAATCAAACTGCCGCTGTCGCTATGTAGCGCAATTTATTTAAAATTGATTTTTATTAATAAATATATGTTAAATTAGCAAGATGGAGTTGGTTATAAAGCCAAACGTATCACATTATCAAAAATGTGTTATGGATTATTGTTATGAAATTGTTGATAACCCTACTCAAAGTAGATATATTGTATTAGAAAACGATTATTTCACATTAAATACAGAAAATATCAAAAATGTCAAGTTTGATTATGAATGTCGAAATTATATTATGTGTGAACTCAGCAGAAAATGTCCTGAACGATATTATATGAAAATGATCGATTGTTGTTTTGAAGATGATTTTGAATTTAAAGATGGTATATTTTACAATAAACGAAAACCTTATATGTTTTTTACTAATAACTATGTACCAGATTTAAATAACATAGCAATAAATAGTATTATGGAAAATTACGATGACATAAATATTGATAATATGATTTCTATTGTTGCTTCTAAAAAATGTCACCAAGATTTTTTTATTATTAATAATGGAAAAGGAAAATATACGAGCTGCAATATGCACACACGACATCTTAATTATTTCGAAGAAGAAGATAAAGACATGATCATTGAAGAACTTTATGAAAATCCAGATTTTGTTATTAAGAAACGCCACTTGTCCGTCTCTACTATAAAAGAAAATGTTAATTATTGCATGTCTCTTGATACAGGTGATATTCTGACTACTTATTTTGATCAAATTGCTGCTACAACAGAAGGGAATGATTTTGTCGTCCAATTTGTTATTTCGGATGACGAAATATTTATCAAGCATGAGGGTAAATACATTGATGGAAACGAAATGTTATTAACGAACGACAAGCCAGAAATTGGATTTACATTGCTTCAAGATAATGAAGGATACTATATTATTAAATTTAAAGAAAAATATATAAATATTGAATGGTTTAAGTCTGCATATGGTGGGATAATTTTTAAAGAAAATTCATGGACCCGATTTAGTATTGTTGAGTCCTAATAGCACATGTTTTTGGCTAGCATCTACATTTGCCTTTAAAACGGTTTAATCGCGCATGTGCTTTGACCAGCACTTGGAGTTTGTTTCAGAATGGTTCTATCGTCAGTCTCAGGACAATTAAAAGGCACGTTAATCAAATTAATTGTAAAAGGAGCATTATCAGCTATTTTTTTCTGTTGATAAAATATTCTAATATCAATTCCAGCCAATCCATTTTGCCATTTTTGTATGCATCTAGTGAATGCACCACGGCCGCCTTGGTAAGTCGATGCAAGTGGAAATTCATCGCATTCTAATGTAATGTCATTAGTGTTTGAACTTGAACATTTTTTTGTAGAACAAGTTACTCGTCTATTGGCACTAATTAGCCTCATTTTTACTTTATTTGTGCATTCTCTTATCTTAACTGGCTTATGAGTTACAGGATTGAATACAGTATGAATGTATGTATTATAATTACCATCTACATCAGGCGGATTGATTCGTGTATACGTCCCACTGGTTGTAAAACCCATTCCTTGAAACATATTGCAAACTATATCGGGACAAGCATTACCATCATATGTAATGGTAGGGATTGCTGTGACAATCAACACAAAATAAATAAGAATTACAGTAATAAATAACATATGTATTTATATCGTCGTACTTCAGCTATTGTTTCAATTTAAATTTTAAATAACTTTTATAAAATAAATATTTTAAAGATTGTAACTGAGATTTTTATGATGTTATTGCTTTTACTGATCTTAGGGGTATCACTATCACAACGAATGTGAGCAACTAAAGTTACTACTGTAAAAATTCCAACAATTTGAGCTTTATTTTAAAATGTTAATATTATCTAAATAATGTGATATATGAGTATAATATGCTAATATTGTGATGATCATTGCAATACATAATATATTTATCTTGGTATGATTCGAAACTTCTTTTGGTACTCGTTTTTGCTTTATTTCCCAATTTGTCTTTCTAGGCATTTGTGGATTCTTGACCCGATGCAAGACGAGTATTTATACTTTTTGATGCTTAGTCATCATTAGTCAGCCTAGGATATAATTAATGATGCCATCTTCCACGAATATAGGCCACTTGGTAATAGAATCGTTATCAAAATGTAAAGAAAGATTACATAATCATACGTGGGCCGTGTGTTCACAGATTTCGCTAATGCTGGGATATAGATAAATCCTTCCATCCATGTTTGGAAAATGGTGGTCCAGGATTTAGCTATCCTGGTATACTTACTTTAACTCCGGGCAAAAATGGTGGATTGTCTGTTTTGGAAGAAACAAAGCAAGTGTCCTGCTATTTATTGTAAATGTGGAATACAATCATCATTCCAC